CTCCAGCAGTCAGAGCGAGACAAGAGGCCAGTGTGAATTACACATGCAGTGTTTTGTTAGCCAAGGACGCGTTTAATCTTTGTTTTATAGAACAAAGCTCGGATAAACATGAATTATGAGGTGAGGAGCCACGGTCAGTGCGGTTTAGAAAAAAAGTAATATTGTCAGGGCGGTCATTAAGTCGTAGAGCATTTTGAAATCAAAATGATGGAGTGCATTACATTCTGGTCATGTGTTATCTATACACGAGCCTCATGGGTACCGCAGGAGGCATCTTTGTGCATCGGAGCCAGGAGACTCCATCACTTGACGTCCTGTCGCTGAGATAAGATTAAAACCCGGGTGAAGATCCTCGGGAGACGCGGAGCCGCTGGATGTTCTGCCCGCAGATATTACAAGCGACGCAGCGGTTTGCACACAACTGAAGACTATCGTTGGCAGGTGCTGGGGCAATAAGAAGATGCCGATGAAATACACAAACAAGTGTAGACACACACAGTAACTGCCTGCAGGAATAACAATGTTTTTATTACATCCTTTGCTAAATTAGGTACATTAGTATCATCAGGCTGAGTTTTGGCACCACGCATACTTATTAACCCCAACAGACAAGTCTAAAATAGGCAATTTGTCTTTTTTTTTCATAGATTGAATTATTTGTAATAGAAAAAAAACTTGTTTTGTGTGACTATATATAGACACATAAAGGAAATGGGTTTGTAATTTGCTATGTTTTTTCATAGAGTGTAATTTGCTGCAGTAGCAGCGCCTACTTTGGGAAGTACCGTAGCTACGCCTAAGCTCGCTGTCACTTCCTAAACTTAAAAGCCTGCTGATGATTATGACCCTGGCATTTCCTAAAGTCTTTACCCCACCTCCATGTCGCTGCTTTGCCCTCCTCTGCTGTCCCATCTCAATTCCCCAAATCCGGGCTGGTCTGTTGGGAAGATCACAGGGCTGCTCTTAATGAAATGTGTGTGCACAGGTTATTTCTAAATTACGCGCCCCTAGACGGAGCCGTCCCCGAAAGGGCATAAATCTGCGGAGGAGAGGGGAGGGAAAGTTGGCAGACAAGATGGCAGATGTAAACCTTTCCAGGACAATGGCCAGTGAGATCCAGCAGAGCATTAGTGCAGCAAAAGTAAAGTGCTCCTAATAGCAGTACATCTTTCCTGCTTTTTTTTAGCATAGCCGTTTTTTATCTTCACTTTTGCTTTCTCACATCATTAAGACTCTACGAGCCTTTAACTCTCTCCTTCACTCCCATTTTGGAGTGATTTGATCTGTTTTTCCACATCAGCCTTCTCTTGTCGTAAAGCTGTTTATAGTGTTAAATCCTCCTGCAGGAATCGCCTCATTAAGTAGTGGCAGTATGCACTTGCTCCACTGAGGGTGGAGGGTATGGTCTGTCCTCGTGGGCTCGATCAGTACCAGTTAGTGTCCTGTCTCATTGGACCGGACCGCGTAGGCCTCCAGGGCCTGAGAAATTAGTCTTATGTGACTTATGCGCCATCACCTCTCTTGGCGAATGCAGTGGTGACTTTCACCTGAGGATTACTGCCAGCAGCACGGTGTCCTCTCGGCGTCATCCATATACCCCCAGTTTCTTCCTTTTCTCTTCCTGTTTCCGAATGATGACTTGTGAGTCCTGCAGCTCCTGCTGCCAAGAGCAGGGAGTTCAAACCGAATGGGGGCCGAGGACCCTTCCCTCCCCCCTCCTCCTATCTCCCAGAAAGAATAGAGTGAGAGGGACAAAAGTGGAAGTCTAGGCGGCTTCCTGCGCGCTCCAGCCTTCTGTTTTCCTCATGGGGAGCCAGAGGTTTCCTCCCGTGAGTGATGGGTTCGTTTTAGGGAGAATTCTTTCCCCCGCAATCTGAAAGGGGACATTAGTAAGATTGGCTTTTTTCTGGTCTATCACTCAGCGTGGTTACATGGATTCGAATAACTGGCTTAGTCGGACTGAAATCGAATTATCCGTTTCATGTAAACACCTTTGTCCGACTGTGCGGTCCGACTACGATCTGACTAACACCACTGGATAACTCGATCCGATCCAGTTGATAGTTCCACTATTGCGGCATGTAACGGTGAATCGGATAAGGAACTGGACTTCTCTCCGTTATCAAATCAGCCAATAGCGCCATTCGCATTCGCTGTGCTTCTATTAACATCATGCAAAGGTAGTAGAGGGATGTAGCTTCACCTTGCTCTCCGCTCGCCATCTTTCTCGTAAAGTTGATGATGTTGGTTGTTGTTGGTAGTGGTGAAGCGGTCAAGCGGAAATGGCTGTATCACAACTAGTTGTAATGAAAACAGCGCCACCTATCGTATCGGATATGACGATATGCTTTCGGCCAATGATTCGATTTATTCACTGCCATGTAAATTGGGATAATAGCACCTCCCCCCGAAAGACAGCATAGTCCGACTAAGCAAAGATTCGAAATATACCATCATGTAAACAAACTGAGTGCTATCTAAAATCTGATCTCTCTCACACACACACACACACACACAGAAGGCTTGGCCGGGATGTGAAGCCCAGTGAGTGAGCTCTGTAGCAGACGTCCCAGCCCCTCAGCTCAACCCTGCCCGCAGGACGTGGTCACACCAAGGGGAGGAGGCAACGATCGGCCCTATTCAATAATACATCGACTGCATTAAAGCGCATGAATTAGTAATGGGCGGAAAGAACCCAGTCGTCAGGATACACACACACACACACACACACACACACACACAGCAAAACAAAGATATATCTACTTCTGCTGGTCAGGCCAGGGAGGATGAACACATGGACATAAAAAGAGAAGAAAGCAATGGCTTTAACTTGGAGGGAATTTATCACACACACACCGACATTTTGTTGCACTCTGTCTTTTACCCACAATCTCTCTCTCTCTCTCTCTCTCTCTCTCTCGTAATGGCCTTTTTTCCTACGGGTGAAATAAATAACTTATATCTATGTGTCGTCAGGCTTAGTGAGGACCGTTTGAATATAAATAGTTGATTTGCCTCCATAGTGCAGCCCTCGCTTTGTGACATACATATATTTGTAATAACCCCCCCCCCCTCCTTTACTTTTTCTCTCTGGTGCCAGCGTTTTGCCCCAAAACCCCCTGTCAGACAGGAGGGGATCTCTGCGAGGCCCAGCAAAGTGTGTACAGACGGTGTGACGCTGCAGACAATTTGAATGCTGCGTTAAAATGACACAAATACAAGCGCTAACTATGCCGAGGAATTGAATGGGAGCAGCACCTTTGAATAATTAATGTCTTGAATGTATAGAGATGGCGTAACTATCCAGCTGTGCATTTGTGTTCATCTACACGTGCTGATTTATTTTGGCGGGCAGTAAGTTGCTTGTGTGTGTGTGTGATTGCGCAAACTGTTGCTGCTTTGTTGAAGCACGACAGCGTTGTCTTTCACTTGACCACTTGACCACTTTAAAATGCCAACCGTTCCTCGAATGTTTTATTCCAGCCCGTGCGGGATAGTGCACTTATTAGAAGCTGCTCTTTGACGAGGTGCCTTGTTGGGAGTTCCTCAAGGAGGTGCAGCAAGGGAAAGGAAGGAGCTCCTTGTTTTTGCTAACAGAAGTGTGTCAGACAGGAATGCCCTCAAAGACACTCACAGCCCATCAACCCACGTGAAGATTTATCCTCCCCGAATAAAACCGAGGCGAAAAGAGAAGCGCGGCGAAGCACGTAGGTCGAAGAAGCAGACGGAGGGTAACGTGTGCTTGAGGGAGGGACGGGAGATGGAGTTGGCAGAATATCACTGCTATTAATCAAAATGATATTGAGTGTATTATTGAACAAAGAAACAGAAACGTTATACGCTATATATCCGAAAGGATTGAAACCGCTTGTTTATTCACAGAATGGCTATTTTAATGACTATTCGGACAAACAAAGAGTTTAAAGCCTTCATGGTCCAATTTCGACTTTGTCAAGTTATAAAACACTGACTTTGACAGCCGCTCCTTCACCTCATTTAGTGCCAATTCATTATTATACAGTTTGAAGCAGCTTATTTTTTTAGCTTGTTCCCCTTTAAAACACTACAGAAGTATGACAGCACAGATTTGAACGGAATAATGTTTGTTGGTTCTCCCTGTGATGGATGACTGTAAATTCGTAAATATGAATGCAAACAGGCTGTCCAAGGTCGTAAGATGATTATTCTTAAAAGAAACATTTGGGCAGTGAAATTAGATAACATAGCTCTAAAGCAAATTGAATTTCATTGACTTAAACAGCTTCCACGTACTGTTTTGAGAAAAACATGCTGACGCATACTGTTTGGCAAAGCGGTGCACCGTAGACGTGTGTGTGTGGTGGGGGGGGATCCTAACAAGAAGGATGCAGGGAGGGTTGAGTGGAATAAGCTCCTGAGGAGCGTGACATCTGATGGGAGGAGCAGCGCTCCATCACCCTCGCAACAATTAGCGCATGTGATTAGTGTGGACCTTCTCCGGTGAAATTGAATCCATCAGGCGGACTCTGTTTGCTGCAGGTCGCTTTGTCTCTGTCACCGCAGAGCTGCTAATATAAAGCCGACATAACGGATGATTTCTACTTAAGGCGTGGCTTGATTTGAAGCTGATTGCGTCTCACAATTGTCTTTCCATAGTGTGTGTGTGTGTGTGTGTGTGTGTGTGTGTGTGGTGAGAGGGTGTTTGTGAGAAAGAGGGAGAGATGGAGGACTTTCAGTCATCTAAGGCTCCTTCAACACTGAACAAAAAAGCCATTCGCTCCCATGAACGTCTGGATTGGGTCTTTAGGGGGAAATGTTACAATTGGCCAAATTCCTTCACAGCAGTTTGTATGAGTGTGTATTTATCTTCTGATGACTCCCTAGTTGGAAGATTTCCTCCCCTAAGACACAAGCAAAACGAAATAAAACTCCCATGAAATAGAGACTGAAGTCTCAAAACCACATATACACACCTACTTTGCTGCGAAATAGGTCTAACTTTCCTGTTTTTTTTTCCGCAGGCTACCGGAGCCGAGGGCCGACCCCGTGAACCCACGAGGCTTTGACGACAACGACTCTGGACCGTCCATGGACCACGCCCCCTGAATACCAGCAGACCAGACTCCTACTCACCCGTCCCTCAATGTGTACTCCAGCCATCGGCCCCGCTGAGCTGTCAGCCCCCCTCCCCCTCTCTCTCTCTCTCTCTCTCTCTATGTCAGGATTTTTCACCCCCCCCCCCCCCCCCCCCCCTTCCGGCGCTGTGCCTGCTGCCAGCGAGCTGACCTTGAAGAGGGCTGCTGTGACAAATATGGATGGCGACGTCTTTTCTGTGCTCTTTTTTTTCACTAGCTACTAACTTCCATCGATTTGAAGCACACAAGTTTCGGGCGATCAATTACCATCAGGCTCAATTTCCACAGCCAGTCAGGTCCTTGGCTTACTGGTGAGCCTGGCAGACTCTGGGAGGAGTCTGGGTAGGCAGCCGAGCGCAGCGTCGGTTAAGCCCGACAGATGTCAGAAACGGGGGCGCTCCGTAGCGCCGCTCTCTTCACAGCCGTGAACAATGCCGCTCTGTTTCTGTCGTTGTGACACATTCGGACGCTCCTTGGAACATCATTTCCAGATGCCGCAATGCCTTATGTCATCGAGAGACCGTTGAAAGGTGTTCTCTGTGTCATGTTTGATTAAGAAGAAAAAGAAAAAAAAAATGTTTTATAATGTTGTACTTTCCATCACCGTGTGCCGATTCTTTATGCTCGTGTATTGGAGCGCACGTCCTTGTGTGCTTGTGTGTGAGTCTTTGTTGGGTGAAAATCAAACGTGCGCAAAATAGCACTTTAGCGGTATCAGCTTTCTATTCAGTGTGATGTACAGAGGCTCATTCCCCCTGTCCAATGCGCAGGCTGTGTGACCGATCGCCATCCAGACGAGCGCACGCACTTTCCACCTTGACCCACTCGGCCGCGGCGTTCGTTCGTGATGTACAAGTGTGTCCGTGTCAGCGGTTTGTTTTCTTTAACGCGATTGATTCTGTTCTGCTTTACATTCAGAATTTTTAAGCGGTGTCACCCATCATACGTGGCACATGTTTGACAACGACATCGCTTTGCCCTGAGAGGAATGTCTGCGTGTCAACAGCCTATTGAAATGACTCTGAAAAGAAAAGTGAAACAGCAGACACAAGTTTGACTGTCTTTGTCTATTTTTTTTGTTTTAAATGCATAAATAAACAACCAGTTTCTGAAGATGACATTCGCAATTTCACTCAAGGAGCATCTTTTTTTCTTTTGCCAAACTCTACAAACACCTCAATGTCATCAGTCATCCAAGAAAGTAACATAAAAAATAAAAAAACAGTAAGCATGCAGCGACGGACGTAGACGAGAGGAGAGATGACGCGCGGTTTAGAAGGGATTCGTTCTGCTTCATTGACATGCGAGGCGGGCACCCATCTTGCTCAGACTGGGAGTAGTAGGTTTGGGAACAAACAAAAGGGTGTTGATGGAGCAGGAGAGCTCTTCGGGGTCTCTTCTTTTCCACAGATGCATTTAAATGTCGACAGGTTTCATTCCTACGCTGCCAGCAGAAGCCAGAACCCACTTTCATCAACTTGAAGCTTCAATCACTAAGCCTTTCTCTCGGGGCTGCTCGTGTTTTTTCTCTCTCGCTTTGCTCCTTTCGCCTCGTCCTTACAGCACTCTGTGTTTCTCGCTCCCTTCTGCTGCGTCCGCTTCGTCAAGCCAAGGATGCTTCTGCAGCATTTCTGATATTGACGCGTGGAAACCCGTTTAGCCAGTGGTCATTGCTGTCTGGCTGGTAACACGTCTGGGTTTGCGTTCTCTGGTGAGTTTCCCTTTACAGAAATAATGGGGCTTAATGACTTACCGCATGAGGCATTGATCCTTCAGCATTCACTAAGCCACTGCTGACTGACCGAGCGCCAGAGCACTCAAACCCCTTTTACAGATTTTTTTTTTGGTTATTTTTTTAAGTATGTTGTAATGCTTCCACCCCCTTGCCATTAGAGAGCGGCTGGCTTTCGGATAATGATCATTAGGCCGTCATCTCCGACTAGAAGTCTGGTGCGATCAAAGAGCTGGGAAACAAACCTGATCGGTGGGGACAATGTGCCTGTTGTCTGTGGAGGAAATGGAGAGGAGAAGATTGTCAGATCTAATTCAGCCGGGGAGAACACAAGGTTCCCCTTTTTACACACACAATTACACCTGCTCTCGCAGGTTCACTTCACAGAGCATCTTCACAGGGAGGCGTAATGAACACGAGCGCAGTTTTAAGACGTGCAACTTACCGCGTGGGCAAAGAAAGACTTTTGTGTTTGTGTTGACGTGAATGAATTGCCTCACGGGTTGTGAGAATGAATTAGCTACGTGACATGCTTGCTAGTGGTCACGCCGCTTTGATTGCTGCCTTTTTAATTGAGCCCGCCGCATTAAAGAGACAGTCGGTGTCTGCGGTTACACGGGAACGGAGCAGCTCCAGCACCCAGTGACCCACCAAGACTTCTGTTCATTAGTGGGCGAGAGCCAAGAGAGAAATGCGAGCTGTCTCGTACGCGCAGACCACAGGTCCGAGTGCGTGTGGTCTGCGAGAGGCCAACACCTCTTGTACCATTCAAGAGAATGTATTCCTCGTCTCACAGCAGATGCACTTTCTTATTCATCTTTCCCTTTGGCCTCTACTCTCTCGCATGCACACACACACAAAAGAAAATGGGTATCAGCCGAGATTAAAGCCTGGATTTTTACATTTTCCACCTCTCGCTGAAACACTGATGACTTTTCACAATATGTGACACCACTCGTTGATCCGTGAGTTTTAACATTTTTCATTCCTTCTGTGGGTTTCCAATGTGTTTGAAATGCATTTTGGATATAAATGGGACAAAGTAAGCCAATAAAATGGACAATAGAAGTACTTGATGCACGCAAGCCTTTTTGATTCCATTTTTAATTGGAACCCTCACTTATAGCTCAAGTTATTCTTCGTTTTGGATACTGGTGATAAAGGGCCCCTTAGAAAAAGCTAATGGAAAAATCACGTTGTCTCACGTTGACATCCAGCCTGCGAGAAGGTGCACACGGATTATAGGCCCGTCCAGACTGACTGGCAGCAGGTATCTCTCAAAAGTCTCAGGTACAGACCAGCTGTCCGGGCTTATGAACAATGACTGGGAAGAGACGGGACGGCCAAGAAATCCATCTCTCCCCGAGATGCCAGCCATCAGTCTTACATCCCCGAGTCAGCAAAGAGACACCTTCCGGCTTTTGTCTCCTAATTTCTGTGCAATCGTTTCCCGTCTCAGCATCCTACTTGAACAAGTGAATAAATTGTAGAGGAAGAAGAAGACTGAAGGGGATCCTGTTATCAAAAGAGCAGCATATGGGCATGCTCTTGCCAGGGTTTAGAATGATAGTACTTCAGTGTGCAAGGGGGAGACATGCAACCGGAGACATGCGACCGGTGACGTGCGACGTGATAAGGATCTCGAAGGCGTGGATGCAGTGGAAAGCAGCCGGGATTTTTGCTTTCCTCCAGCTGATGGCTCTGAATAAAATGAACATCCCCGCCTAGATAAGACCTACGGCTGTTCCTTTGGGGAGCTGTAACACATTAGACTCTCTCTGTCACAGCCGTGATGAATCATCCTCACAGAAAGGATGAATGTAGAATGCAAAGAAGTGGGAAGTGAAATATACCCTTTGCAGACTCGCCAGGGCTCCAAAATCTCAGCCCAGAGGTTCGTGGAAGCAAAAACAATATACCTTTTATATTGTAACATCGAAACGGAATGTTACATTTCTCTGTTCACACAAATGCGTCTGCATGGGACATCAATGCGTTGTGTCATAATCCTCGAGATGAGTTTGATGTCCGCCGTCACTAACTGTTCAGTGCAGCCCGCCAACTTTGCTTGCTCCACCCATGTATACTTGCTCACGCCTCCCATCACTCATGCCGTGTACGCCGCCCCTCCCTCGCTCGTTGCTCTTCTGGAGCTTGTTAATTGCGTCGGTGACACTGGTCCGCTTGTGAAGCAGTAGCAGTAATTGCTCCGGCCTGGTCCGAGGTGATGGAGGGGGCATCCGTCTGGCCTTTCGGGGTCGTAGCCCCGAGGCTACGAGATGAGACACGCGCCTCCGTGTTTGATGAGATCAGCAGTTTTATAAGGGGGCGTTTAACATCAAACTTGCACCGCTCCGGGTTTGCGAGATCATATGGGCAGATAAGTTACACATTAAGTATGCAATTATTTTGCTCTATAGCACTCCGTTTGTACTATGAAGGTCATCACAATATAGTACAGGCAGGTCAGCATGTTATCCATTCACTTTATTTGTTTGTCCTCACCCTAAAACAGGGAGCTCAAATACCATCGCTTTGCATAATGTGTGACACACACGAGGGTGGATGACGTGAACACCTGCTGTACAAATCGCTTTCTCTCCGTTCGAAGCGGAGTGTCAGTGGCCCCCATTATTCAAGCTGTTCTGGAAGAGACTGGAAAGGATGCGATTCATTTATCCTAATTAAATCCAAGGCAACATTTGGATGGAAACCAGGGAAATCCGTTGACCGTTAACATATAAGACACCCAAAAGGCTGCCGGTCGATTCATTAAAATAGAATGCTTGTACCTTGTTGGAACATGCATCGGGGTTTTGGCACAACTTCACTAGCTTGCAATGTGAGTGAAGACAATTGTATCTGATTAATGCAGCAGGCTGAAATCTGGTGGATCAGTGTTGTTTGAGTTTTTCCTCCCACCACCAAAATGCATACATGTGACCAACATGTTCTCAGGCTGCGACACAGCTGCCCACTGGTGCTAAATGGGTCAAATGCAAAGGACAAATATCCTGACAGTGACAAATGAGTTGTAACATAGCAGGTGTTGCTTGGGTTTTAACCTTCAAGGTCACACGGGTTGCGGCAGTCGTAGAAGCGGCTCCAAAGGATGTGGTAGGGACACATTTTGGAGAGTTATTTGGGAAGATTGTGTTGCAGCATCTTTCCCAATTCAAACTATTCTCAGGTCAGAATGTCTCTTCCATTTCACAATCCGGGGTACAATTTTACACATCTGCTGTGCAACAACATAATTGAATTACTGATACTTATATAATGATCAGGAAGAATCCACCACACTGCTTCCTAGTATGGAATGGGGGGAGCTCACTTATCTCCCATGGGATTTGACTCTGGTTTAGCCTTTTCTTTTTACAAATAAAGAATAAAAAGGCAAATAAGATTAAAAAAAACAAGGACGACACAAAAAGAAAAAACAGGTGTGTTCGACCCAGCAGTCAGAAACATGCAACGGATTTGCTTGATTAAAGTCTATCGCCTGGTGTCCTTGTTGTTTAGTTACGCTCAGAGAACGCGTGACTAAAGATTGTAACTCTGTTTCCATGAAATATGTTGGATGCCTTTAATGAAGTCACACTGCAGCTTTAATTCATACGATGAAATCAATACAAATCTGATCCTAATTGGATGCAGTGATTATAAGACATTAACTAAACATGCACTATCTTGTATTTTTTAAATAATTCTCTCCCTCAATGAGCGTTGTTATCGATGTTGTTTAGAACCGATTAAAGAAAAATATTTCAAACATTAATTTCTTTTAAACCTGTCGGTCCTCCTCTCAGTTGGAGCATCGCTCTTGTAACAACTCTGTTTCCTGCTGACGGTTTGTTCAGCTCTTTGGCGCCGCTGCACTTGTTAATTCAGGGACCGACACACAGTGAACCGCTGGGTTGTGTGGCAACATGTGGGAATGACTTCTGTTCAAGGAGAAACACTAAACTTACCTCAACGTCCTCTGCATGTAAATCTAGAATTTGCTCCTGCTTCTTAGAGACTACGATCACCACACAATGTTTGCGTCCGGATGCCTCGCATAGTGGCCCCCAAACCCAAACCCAAACCCAAATCCCATTGAGATTGGTTAACTAGGTGGTTAAATGTAGAAAACACAAAAAGAAATTAAATGAAAAAAAAAGAAAGCTGCATTTTAAATTGGAACGGCAAATTGTCAGAGCAAATGTTTCGGTCTGTTGTGTTCGTGATTTAGCTTCTACTTTTTGAAGCGGAGAATAAAAGGTGTAGTCCCACGAGGTGATATTCTTCTGCAGAAAAACACAGCAGGTGCACTGGGGTGCAGTTTGAAAGGCATGCAAGTGCAGAGAAATACAAACTGTAAACAAGACACGTGGCGGGTTCATCGCCTGTTTCTATTG